TCTTATACTCCTTCACATGTTACTTAGCTGAATATTCATTCTTTCCAACTCAAATCAGTGATCCCAGCAGTAATTGGGGTCTGATTATCATGGAGGAAATCAGCTCCATTTCAAAAACATTATATGAAGCTTATTTATTGCTTGCTGAATCAGCAGGGCTGAGGCAAGTGCTGGCCAGCTCCCCTGGGGGGATGGGGGAGGGAAAGGAACAGAGGCTAAAGAGATGTCAGAGAGTGGCTGTTTGAAAAATGGGCAGCATCCAGAATGCTAGAAATCCCTTAAGGCCATGTCCAGATAAGGGAAGTAGATATAAGGGCCAGAAGTAGTATATGAATATAAAACAAATGCATGTCAAAAGTACTACCTGTATCCCCCAAAATTGTATTATCTAGCCAATCAGTTTTAGATCATGTTCTTTTCCTGACTCAGATACTATAAATGGCTTCCTATTATCCATAGGATGAAGTCCAAACCCTTCAGCCTGGCAGTCAGTAGTACTGTCCTGCAATCTGGCTCCAACCTACCTTTCCAGTCTCTGTACTTTTCTGTTACAGAACTCTGATCTAGCCGGTTACCCTTTCAAACACTGCTTTAGCATTCCCTCACCTACATTGTCAGCCCTATCAGGTAAACACTATGTTTTTACCTCTTTGAATCTCCCAGAGTGTGTAGCATTCTGTCTTGCATATATTAGGCACCCAACGTATATCTTTGTTGCCATTACCCATCCTTCTGCCTTTCTTTCTAATGTCTCTTCTACCAGTGACCACATATCATCTCTACTGAAAATGGCAACTGAGACAGTAGGTAAAAGGGGTTGATGTTCAACAAGCTATCTTTTAAATTTTTAGTTTGAAATAATATATAGAAAAAAAATGCAAGAATCACTCTTTCGTACCATTCACTTAGATTCACCATTGTTTAATATTTTGCTGTATTTGCTTTATGCTTCTCTATATAAATATGGTTATTTTGTTCTGAAACATTTGAGATTGAATAAGCTGTACCCTTTACCCTTTCTCCTTTTTCTCAACCTTTTATTATGAAAATATTCAAATATTAAGAAAAGTTGAAAAAATTGTACAATGAATACCCAGATACCACCATTTAGGTTCTATTATAAACATTCTTTTATATTTGCTTTATCACCTGTCTGTCTATGCATCCTTTTATGCATTTTAAGTTGCTGACATCAGTACATTTTTTCTAAATTCTTCAGTATGCAAATCATTTTAACTAGATGAAAAGTATTTTGTGCTCTGAAATCAACCAAATCATCCAGTTATATCTGCTAGTCTACCTGTGTGTCTTAGATCTGTTTGGCCATGGGATGTCTCTTTGGTTAACTTTCGGATGCCCCTCTATTTCACCTAGTGCAGTGCCAGGCACACATTCCACACATACCACTTGATGCTGATGAGCAGAGATAGAGCTAGAGAAATTGAAGAAACATAATAAAACTATAATAGAATAAACTGGAGGAGGAAGGGAGAAGGTAGTGTATGCAAAGAGGGCTGCAGATAAATGGGAGAGAGAGAAGCCAGGGCTTGAAGAATTGGGGGAAGAAGGATGCCTTAGCCCACCTGGTACTTCCAGCAGTATTTCCACCTGCTACTTCTTATCTCTCTCCTTAGAAGGATAGGTTCCAGGAAACTAGGGAGACTTGCTGCTTAGCAGAGCACATGACAGGTTTCTTTGCTACTACTTAGGAAACATCAATTAATCTATTCATGTTTCTTCATGAATATGCTAATCTGCCATAAGATGCTGCTTAGTTTTGAAGAATGTAGGTGGGCCACTGAAAACCTCTTTCAAACTATATCTGTGCCACAGCCAAAGAGGACTTGAGTTCAATGAATCCTAGCTTCCTTTTGGTTTATAATTTTTCCTTTCTTGTGTTGCTTATGAATGCAAGGATTCCTCTAATCTGTACTTATTGAGTAGTCATTTTGTGCCAAGTATTGTGCTAGATGCTATCACATCACTGACACTTTCTGACAACCTGACGAGGTAGGTACTATTTCTTTTCCCATTTGCCACCCAGGAAAACTTGAGAATCAGCATGATTAAACATCTTGTCCATAAGCCAGAATTCAAGAAATTCAGGTCTGTCTGACTCTAGGGCTGAGTAGTCCTAACCATTATATCACATAGTCATATGTAGTTTTTTCAAAAAGTCAATCCAATATAAATGTAAGGAAGTTTCTGTTCACTGTATTGACTCAGCATTTGATTTATTGACTAAGCAAGTCCAACTGAATCATTGGATGAAGGATGTATGCCTTTAATCATTAGAATGTTGATATGGTTGTGAATTCAGATTGCTTACGTTCAAACCCCAGTCCCATCACTTACCAGTCAGATGCTGTAAGAAAGTCGCTTAACATCAGTAAGTCTCAGTTTCCTTGCCTATAAAGTGAGGATTAAAATGCCTGTGATATAGCTATATCGAGAGGACTGATTATGAAAATTATGTGAAGTATCATGAAGTATCATCTGGCATGCAGTAGGTGCTCAGCATATTCTAGATTACTGTCATTACTTCCTTCTTCCTTTTATTGGACCTGACTACTCACCTATAGCTTTTACTTGAGGAAAACAAACTGTTCCTGAAACATTTTTTTGATGAGAGAAATTCTGAAAGAGAATATTAGGTTGATTATTCCCGAGGCTGAACAAGGACAGTTTCCAACTCCTATGTGAAGCATATTTCAAAGTAAGGTAGAAACATGAACACTCAGGAGAGTTAGGGTGGTCCATCTCTCTGCTTCATGGAGATCAGGGCCAAACCATGACTTTGTCTATTTTGTCCCCATACTACATTTCACAACTGGCATAGACTATTAGACCTGGGATATTGGCAATCCCAGCCCAGCCATTTCAAGGCAAGCAAGCTGAAGCTAAGAGAATAGAAGTGACTTGACTAAAGTCAGAAAGTGAAAAAAATCAGGAGAAATCAATTTTCCCGCCTCCTTATCCAGTGTTCATTCTGTGTTTCCTTTGTGTTCTCTCAGGAAGGTAAAACCAAGCCTTGACGTGTGCTCTTTGCAAGAGATTGAACTGATTGGACTCTCAGGGTCTGGTGCAAGTTTGATTGATTCAGAAAACATGAATTTGTATTCTGGTTCAAATAAATTCACTAGTTGTTATTGCTTTCAAACTGTTAACCTTTCTATTTTGTTTGGAATTTAGCAAATTAGTGTTGTTTCTCTCCATTTAGGTTCACAGTTTGGTTCAAGTTCTTGGTTCTTTGAAATCTTCCACTGGGATTTTTGTTTTTGACAAAAATACTGAGAATCCAAGGTGGCAAATGAGGGAATTCGTTTGAAAAGATCAGTCAGGCTTGGTGACGGCTGCTGAGGAGGAGCTTGGGTGCTTCAGGGAACCATTAGTGCTTACATTCTGGAGCCTTAAATCAGGATAATGGAAACATTGCAATGGTTTTTGGTGTGTGTGTTTGTTTTTATCAGCATGCTCTGATGCTTTCGTTTTCATTCTTGTTAATCTGGGTTGAAACTGCTGCCTCCCACCTCATTCCCTTTTGGGACACTCTGTCAGTCATATTCTTGATAAGATCCTCATTTTTTGACTGTGGGAAAGAAGCTAACAAAAAACCATCTCTCCTGTCCTTTTTCCTTTACTTTGAATGGCCCTTCTGAGGATCTTGGGGAATATGAATTTCAAGCTTAAATTTGCGGAGGAGTTTAGTTGCAATGCCCAAAGGCAGAACAGCCTGATTCTGAAATACAGCCTTTGTTCCTTTCTTACCAATGTGGTTTTAAAAGTCTCAGGCAAGCCTCCTTTGCCAAACCTGAAATTGAACTGACACCTTTCTCAGTGTCCAGCCATGCTGCAGGTGAGGCTAAGGGTTGCAGTGATGAGGCCTCTGGAGAATTGCATCCCACATGCCTGATTTTTCCACATACCAGAGGAATGTGAGTTCTAGTGCTAGGGCTGCCAGTACCTTTTCAAGCTCTCGACTGTTTACCTAAGCAGTTGAAAGGCTAGGATTGCAGCTGTAGTGGTAAAGGGGCCATTCCTAATACCACAAAAGGCAAGCAAGCACTTTATAGAAGGTGAGATTTTGGATGATCTCAGCAATTATGTTTCTGATTAAAAAGAAAATTCTCACTTTAGATTCATTCTCTTCCCCTCCCTTTCCCTCTCTTCCCTTCTCCCCTCTCCTCCTCTCTCTTCCTCTCTCTTCCTCCCTCCTCCTCTCTCCTCCCTTCCCTCTCTTCTCCTCTCTTCTCCCCTTCCCCTTTTTAATAGCTTGCTTGCTGTTAGCTCCAGTCACCTAACCCTTTGTGTTTCATATTATCCATTTTTCCCATTGATGTAACATGAATTTTGGATATATATTTTACTGGCACTTTCAGTAGTAGCAATAACATTCAAAGGGGAAATTAGAAAAAAGTTTTCTTTCTTCTCACAAGAAGTATGCTGGGTACCATTTGAAGACACAGATGGCATTGGAGGGGGCCAAGGGGAGCTGACATCTAATATTTCTGCTGTAGCCCCCACCTTTTTTTTGGCCTCTTCAGATTTGGCCCATGTGGACAAACATACACTTGGGTAACCACCATACAGATGGAAATCAGGACATGTGGGATTTGGCCGAACCAAAGGTCCCCAAACATTGCCTGGATCATTTAGTGCCCCAGGTGTGGCTACCCCAGGACTTCATGTGCTAAAATTGTGTCTAAGCTTAAGCCAGCTGGTCACTGTATATATAGTATCAAGGCAGCTTGGAGCCTCATAAAGCATGACTTTGGATTTTTACCTTGTGGATTTAGATTTAGCTAATCAACTCGAATCCTTCCCCACACGCTGGGCAATGTGGATATACCAGGCAAATAGAATGATTTAGCAAAAGGAGATGCTCATTGTCAAGTAGTTTGCATCCTAGATGGTACATGAGACCATATGTAGAAAAATGGACTGAATTTTCAGAAAAGAAAGAGGGAATGAGAGGGCTTAAGTCTCTTTAATAAACTTTTAATGTATTATTTTAAAATTTTTCTTTTCAAAAAATTTCTCCTCTGTGGAATTTTAAGAGCAAATAGTGATTCCTTCCAATGTTAAAATTTGAAGAAATGAACAATGTTTTGTGAAATTGTATTCATCCATTATTTTTATTTGCCTTATGTGATAGAGGTGTCTCACTTCATTTAGGCAATATTTGTTTCAGCGTGTAGTAATAATAATCCCATATAACTATGTAGCCCTTTACTATTTACAAAAGGATTTTCGTATCCATTACCTCATTAGCTCTTCACAGCAATCCTGTGAAGCAGTCAGGTTAGGTACTATTATCTCCAGTTAATAAATAAGGAAACTTAGGCTCAGAGAAGTTAAGTGACTTCTTCAGAGTCACACAGCTAGAACATTATAGATTTGGAAACTGAACCCAGGTTTCCTGATACCTATCCCTAGTGCTCCTTCAATTGTATCATGCTTCCTTCCTAAGAAACTATCTCCTTTTTGTTCCTACTCATGATTAATTTTAAAATTAGTCTAAAAATGTACTTTAGCAGATGAGTAAAACTGAAGCACTTACAGGTAAAGTGCCTTCTTAAGATCACCTATCAAGTGGGTCCTGCATATAGCTCTTGGCTTTTCACCTTGATTTTAACTGAACTATTTTAGACATAGATTTGCTTTTCAGTGTTAAATATATGCACAAAAGTTGTGTGATCCACTGATTATAGGTGTGAAAGCTACACTTGGGGAATGGGACTAGGGATAAAAAGTTGGCTTAAAATAATTAGCTTCTTGCCTTTTTGTTAAGCGATGTCATGTTCAATAGAATTTAATTTCTTTATACTTCCTTTGCTTCCAATATAATTCTTTAGGGAAAATTAGCAAATATTCCTTCTGAATGTTGATTTCTCAGGAACAAGGGTAGCTAGAGGAAAGAGAAAGTGGAGGGGTGACTTTTCATATCCTATAAGAGTGGGCAAGCATTATTTTGTTTGGAGCTGCGAGCTAAGATTTCTTCTAAGGCATGCAAATCGTAAAGTTCTGATTTGTCAACTGCATGCTGTTTCTTTAGGCACTGATGTATGAAATCCCGAAGAATTCTCCGATGAACATACTGCTAATTGCTTCTCCACCTGCTCTCCAACCTCCTCCACCCCACCCCCTCCACTCCCAATTCAGCCTATAAGTGTCCGTCATTGGAGATGGATGGTGACACATGCAGTAATAGCAATTCATAAAAGCCAGTTCCAGCCCTTGTCTTCAAGGCTCCTGGATTTTCCACTGCCTGCTTTTGTGTAAGTGAAGTGGATGGAAGTGCTACTGGCATCAGAATCCACCTCCCTTTGCTCCGTTGCTAAAGCTCAGTTGCTCGGCTGGAGCTGAGCTAAACAGAAGCATCGGATCTGAGCTGAATTGTGGCTGTTTTTTTTCCCCTCAATGGGGGGGTGGGTTAGGGATAGTGTGTAGTGGGGGTTTGAGGTGCTTTGGCTTTTCTTTTTGTGGAGAGAAGAGGGTAAGGAGAGAATAACTCACGATAGGATACAACGTGAAACAGTTCCCTGAAGAGTGTCACAATGTTCCTGGTACAATATACAGGTACAGTATGTTTATTTTTTCTGAAATTTCCTTTTTGTTTCAAAGTGCATTTCTCTTTCTTATTTTGCCTTCAGTTCAACTCTGCTGAAGGAAAAGTAAGGTTCTAATGAGCTAAATAAAATAGCCGCATAAAACCTGCCTGCCCCCAGCTATAATGTTTGTAGCAGATTGCTGTGTAAAATCTGGGTTTTCTGTTAAATTGGTAGTGGTAGTCCTGATCCCTTAATTGTGCACGCTTCTCTGCTGTATTCTTGTATTGAATTTCCGAAGTCTGATGTCTGCAACTGGTAGTATGTGACATAGCCTAGAGTATTTGCACAGAAGACACAGTGCTTTGGAAGCAAAAAGCAATTTCTAAACACTTAGTATGTTATGTTTCTCTTGAGTTTATTAACTCCTGTATTTGTTAATTGGTAGTATAGATTTGGGATATAGTTAAGAGTAAGGAAACTTCAAATAGAAAGTATTCTAGAACACGTGTGTTTGGTAAATTTATTTTTATTTCATTATTGAACTTAGGTTGATGAACATTATATATTATTGTTGTTTGTTTATTCTCCTGATAGAAAAAAAGTGCTGGGAACAGCAAGGCTAAAAATACCAGCCCCAAACCATCTGTATCGTAAAGTATCATTGGATCAAAAGTGTTTCTTAAGTATTCTCTTAAGCTTTCAGAAACATATTGGTCCATAATAATGAAGAACTTGAGACTCTGATCAGGTATTAGTGAATGTTGTTTGAAAGGCTTCTTATACACAATTAGACAGAAAAGATCCTTGCAAATGAAAAAAAACCCGAGAAAGTTTTACTTTCTTGCTGAACGAAACAGAAGCTTAGTTCCTACAACCACATGTTTTGATAAGTTTGAATATCATTTATTGTCAAGGATTTTCATCTTCATTCTTGCTTTATTATTCTTAAAATATTGTGCTCCTGTGCTTAAGAGCTAAAAGATCATATTCTGTTTTGATGCGTGGTTTGACAGTTGATTTCGCTCCTCATTAATTGGACAGCATGCAGATGATGTGGAGAAGTGAGTGAGTGACAATATTTCAAGGTTACGTTGAAGAGCATACAGTGAACCTTAGTGCCTGGACCAACAGCTGCTGAATTGAATTGTCTGCAATTAAAGCAACAGCAGGTTTGTGTAGTCTCCCTGCAGCCCATTTATTTGAATTTATAGCTTCAGTTTCTTCTTTGGGTGTTGGTTGATTTGTTTTGCTAAGTGTTGGAAAGTTGTGCTTGCGAGATTTTTTCCTATACTCCAATGCATGCTTGACTCTAGAAGAGCTATCTCTGTACATTTTAATGTGAGAAGTTGTTGAGGTTTTTCTCTTCTGGTTAAAACCAGAGACGGTCTCGTTTTCTCCACTACAAAATTAGATACATTAGCATGGAAAATATTGCTTTGTTCAATAAATAGAGGTTTCTCATAGACCAGCCTTACTGGTTTAAGTTTCTGGCAGTGAAAAATGCTGGATTTTGTTATGCTACTGGAATTACTATATTCCAGTTCTGGGAAGAACTTCTCTATGCTAATATTAGTAAAAAATATTTGCATTAAAAAAGTGGTGACATTGTCTCTTTGCCATCTCTCAATTCCATAGTGACCCAATGAATAATTTCAAATTTAAGTAGGTGACTTTTATGACTCAATTGTATTTGTATGCTAATAGTGAATACATGTTTAATTCCTTAATGGTTTTACTCTACTAAAAATTTATAATTGCAGTATAGTTGTTGGTTATTGAATCATAGAAAGTGGTTGTGGTATAAAACATTTATATAGTGATTTAACATATATATTTTTAGTTCATTCTCATAACAACCTTGTATGAGGTCAGTGATGATATGATCTCCATTTTATAGGTAAGAAAACTGAAACTCAGAGGATAAGTAATTAGCCCCAGGTCTCATATCTAATAAGTGGGAGAGCCTGAACTTATAGGTTATCTTATCTGATTCAAGAATTTGCACTTTTTCCTTCCCTTACACACGGCTGCCTCTCAGTTGATGGATCCAGGATAAATTTGATTTATGCTACTATTCAAGAAGTCTAAATTCAGTCATTTGCTGAAAAAAATGTATTCTTTGATAGAACTTCAGAGACTTTTTCAAAACTGTTTTTAATCCAATAGTTATTTTAATATGTGAGTGATTTCCAGATTTATTTTATAGATGTATAAGAAACAGTAGTGTTTTCATTAATTTGTACATCAATATGAACAAAAGTAGAGCCTTGTGATGTTTTGGGAAAGCAAAATGTTGTCCAATCCAGAAGGTTGATGTGGAATATTTTCTTTCTAAACAAACTTGTTTGTTTTTAATATTCTTCTCAATGAACTTGTAGGATTGGTTTCATGAAAATATGTGTATTTTAAGGTATACTGGCCATGAATGTGATGTTCTTTGTGTTTCAAGATCATTTTGTTCAGATCAATAGAGAAAACATAGCTAACTCAGTTTCACACTTTTCTTTCTGTCTGTCTCTCTATCCAGTAGATCAGCCTTCCCATCTTTTTAAATTTCCAAATGGTTTCTCTATTTTAAATTCATTAGCTTTAAGGAAAAAAAACCCAGACTTTCTGTCTCACTGAAGAAGGGAATACTATTTAAAGCTGCATTATCAATTTGATACTGGAGTAGCTCATACTAGATCTCTGGTAAAATTTTCTTTAAAACCCTTCAGGAAACATTCTTGAAGGGTCATTTTTGGATCTGAATTTATTGGAGACTATCCCGTGTACTGGAGAAATAACTGGATGGTTAAACTATGGACAACTCTTCTTCAGCATTTGACAGCTAATATTTGAGAACGTTGTCACGAAAATGAGCCAGAGATAGCACAAGTATTGTTATAACCTGTTTATGAGAATTTTGGAAAGATGGTAATGAATATATTATCTCAGATACCATGTAATTATAATTTATCCTTATCTAAGATGGTATCTTTATATTGTAGCATATCTTAAAGTAATGCTATCCTTGTATTATTTCCTTCTGGCAAAAAAGAAAGGAGAATGATATAAAGCCCTTTCATCATTCTTTAACCTTAAATGGATTTGACACTTAAAAAAATACAGGCGGGAACTTTGGGGAATAGATCAGGATTAATAAGAGGAGAACTGGGCAAACTAGGCATGTGATTAGAAGTTCCACATTAAACTTGGTTTCAGGTAACAAATTTCCTGTGTAGTTGGAAGCTGTGGCTAACACATCTCACTCTGTTTCTTTTTTCTGGCAACAAGCACTCTGAATATAAATGAAAAAAGAGCTTATGGGGGCTTTTAAAGAAATTGATGTTTTCTGATTGGCTAAAGAACATATTCTGCAAAATAATCACCTTTTCACTGTCATGTTTGAGGCTCAGAGAAATTAAAGAGGGGTAGATTTCTAGGTTCTGGTTGTTTAGGGAGCTGAAGTTGAGTTGTCTGGTGGATTTTTTTCTCTTCAGTACACCTGTGGGTGCGTTTTATGGGAGTGAAAGGCAGGTCTTACGGATGGGAGTATAAGGGTTAGTATATACCAGCCAGTGGTGTGCTGGAGCCGGCTTGCACTAGCTTACTTAAGGGGATCACTAAGAGTATTTACAAATTTGAAAATTTATTCATATCTGCCTTTTTCCAGAAAGAACTTACTATGCTTATTATGAATAATACAATAATGAAGGCATGCTATCTACGTAGGAGAGTATTCTGCAGATGCTCCTTGGGCTGATAAATTCTACTGCTTAACATTATTGGGCATAGCACAGTTAAGTGTGTGTTCACCACCCACATATATACACAATAATAAGAATAGCTAACATTTATTGAATGTTTACTTTATGCCTGGCTATGTTATAAATACCTTACATGTATGAATTTATCAGTCTTCACAGCACTCCCATGAAGTGGGTAGTATTATTTCCATCTTAAGTTTAGAAAAACTGAGACACAGTTTAAGTAACCTGTCTACCACATGACACAATTACTGAGCAGCAGAATCAATATTCAATCACAGGAAGTTTGTCCTCATAACTCATGCTCTTAACCGCTATGGAATATGCTGTATGCATATAAGGGCACTTTGTTAAAGAAGCTGTTTGCCCATCTCTGTGTTACCTAGAGCAGATATCCCATTGTCCATGACTTCAAAAGACCTAAACAGTTTAGAGCTGTCTGCTCACCAGACTGCTGAAAATTTTTACTTGCTTTCTGATCTCCATCGATGGTACTGTCTATCAACAGAGTCAGGGTGGATCATCGAATCCCCAGCCATTACTAAACATTGCCGCTACTCGTATTCTTTTTTCAGATGTTCAGTATTGTTTTAAAAATCTCTTTCATATTCTGTTGCTTCTCTCTATTCTCAGCTTTTTGCAAAAAGAAACATTGCCAACCAGAGTGTATTTTTTTTTCCATGCAGCCAAATGACCAATCATAGCACATCTTCTCTGCATCTACTCTCTCCCTACTCCATTTTATGCCTAACTATTAGAGTGTTCTTCCTAAATACGGATTTTATCCTATTGCTCCTCTGGTCAAAAATCTTTTAGAGGATTTTGGGTTTTTTTCCAAATAGGCATTCAGGACCATCCATGTTCTTATCCCAGCGTCCCAGAATGACTCTACACCCTTATCTCCCACTATACTACCCTCTCAACACCCTATTTACCCACCACTCTAGACCACTTGTGGGTCACCATGTGCACCCCAAATTTTTAAGTTTGTATTCTACATGCTGTTTACATATACTGATTAATTTTCTTGAATATATAATCAGTTTCTCCTGCTGTTTTCTGCATTTAAATTGCCGTCCTTCCACTTCTCCAACAGCCCCAGAACTACTCAATAATGGAGGTTCTGCTCAAATCACACCTGCTACTGTATTATATACATAGTTTTGGTCTGTCTTCCTCCACTAGACTCAGTTCTTACAGTCATAACCATATTTTACTTGTCTCTTAGCACATAGCCTAGTGCCTTGCACATAGTTAGTGCTCACATGCAATATTCAGGCTTTCAGCAGCTGCACCACCAAAGGTTTTTCTCTTCTGCTAGCTCAAGGTTCAGTTCTATTCTAAAGCCCGAGATTTCTAGAAGCCAAATGGCTAGATCGCTTCTGCTTTGCATAGATACTCTGGAATATTTTTTTCAAAAGATTTGTTTCTAGTACAACTGTCGTCTTGATTTTTTTTTCTCTATACTCATCCCTCCCCAGATCTACCATACTTTGAAAGCTCCTTCTTTTCCCTTTGTGGAACACTTTGCACTTTTGTAGAGTAAGGGCTTGCTTATGTATATATATGAATACTTATATATTCAAGAAAATTAATCAGTATATGTGAAGCAATAATTGGAATTTTTGATGCATAATCACAGTGTTTCTCAAAATGTAGTTTAGGAACTACCCATGACAGAATTACCTAGGACATATGTTTAAAATGCAGATTTCTGGATCCTCATCCCAGACCTACTGAATCACTCTCTGAGTGATCCATCTGTATTTAGCAAACTCCCCAGATGATTCTTCTGTACATCTGACTTTTGAGAACTGTTCAAAGTAAAAAATGAAATGTTAAATGCTGATCTATATTCTCTATGGATATGAATATTAATACTAATTACATTGTAGAAAAACTATCATTAAATGGTTTGATTTTTTGTTCTAATGCTGAAAGTCTTGGTCTCCTGGTATCTAACCCATGTGATGATGCTGTATTCTGTATCTTCACTCCCCAACATAGTAGCTACTAGCCACATATGGCTACTGAGCATTCAGGTGTGGATACTACAACTGGGGAACTGAATTTTTTATTTTATTTAAGTTTAATTAAATTGAGATTTAAATAATCACATGCGGCTGTTGGATGCAGTTTTGGAAGTGCAGCTAGAAAAGGTTTGGCTATCCAAAAAGAGTACTAGATGGCCACAGTGATAATTGTATCGACAGGAAATCGAACTGAAATGTTTCCTTTGACATATAGGACATTGAAGTTCTTTTTATGGATAGTTTAAATTTTTAAAATGGCCGAACGCAAGTTATTCACAGAAGTGGTTTAACAAATTATGATCTCAATTAAATTTAAATGAAATCTATACTTTGCATTTCTCATCAGTACTATTTTTCTCATAATACTGGCTAGCTGTTGAGAGATGG